GACTGACACAGCGTGGTGACAAACTATGACGAGGATCTGAAGGTTCAGGTTTGTGAGACCTTGAGCAAATCGTCTCCCCTCTCCGCTCTTTATTTTCACCATCTGTAAGCAGACTCTGAGGTAGACATTTGCATACAGGAGGTTTACTGGGGACCAAAACCATAGGGCAGAGGGCAGCGAGACAGGGCTGTGCACGCCTGCAGCATCGGCCTCATAAAGGGACCCCTAGAAGTGGGCCGTCCTTCAGAGCCATTGCCGATGGAGGCATGTGGCCAGGCCTCGTATCCACCTCTCCCGTCCGCTAGTTGTTGAAGGCAGACTAGAATGGCTGGAGGGGGCATAACCGACAGCCAGAGGTGGCTCCCTTCAGTCCAGGGCAGTTCCCAGAGAGGGACTCTGCTGAGGTCCCACAGCTACCTACACTCCCAATGGGGTTGGGGGGCGGGATGAAATGAGGGCTGCAGTGTGGGTTGCCCAAGACGGCATCCATTACGGAGGAATGCAGATGAGTTTTCTAACTCTTCCGTGGAGCTCCCAGCTCCCAAGAAGGTACAGTGGGTAAGAAACTGCTCTTCTTGGGTGTGTTTTAATTTCTGCAAAGGTCCAACATATTTCCTCGGAAGAAAAAGCCCAGCTGCCAGTTTGTAAATGCTCCTGTAGCACCTCCTGGTTCTCCTTTAAGGTCCTGATCATACTTATAATTTAAGTAATTAGTTGTACTGATTTCCTGATCGGTCTCTCCCACTAGACAATAAATCCCCAAAGGGCAGGAACCAGTCCTGTCTTATCCACTGTTCTGTGTCCAGTGAATGTACCCACTAGATGCACATTATGTTAGATGAAATCCGGCCCTCTGCAGCGGGACACCAGGAGAGTTGCTCAAGATGCAAATTTCTCAGCTCTCCCTCCAAACACTGGTCCTCTCAGAGGTTCCAAGGCACAAAAAGTTCAAGAACCACTTCATTCCCCTTGTCCCAGGGCTCTGGTGAATGTTTGCAACCTGCTGGAGGAGACTCACCCAGATCCCGTCTCTACCTACTCTCTCAGTCTTCCAAAGGCAAACAATGAGTCAAGCCATTGGCAACCGTGGACAAACTGCAACCCGGGTAGATGTGCCCAGGTCCTGGGTTGCAGGATGTAGAAGTCTAAAACAGATTCATTGGATCCAATCTGGAGCCCAGCGTTTTCAATTGCACATGCAAATTAACTTGAGTAGGATTTTTAAAAAAAATTTTTTAATGTTTATTTTGAGTTTTCTTTTCTTTTTTTTTTTTTTTCAACGTTTTATTTATTTTTGGGACAGAGAGAGACAGAGCATGAACGGGGGAGGGGCAGAGAGAGAGGGAGACACAGAATCGGAAACAGGCTCCAGGCTCTGAGCCATCAGCCCAGAGCCTGACGCGGGGCTCCAACTCACGGACCGCGAGATCGTGACCTGGCTGAAGTCGGACGCTTAACCGATTGCGCCACCCAGGCGCCCCTATTTTGAGTTTTCAATTGCACATGCAAATTAACTTGAGTAGGATTAAAAAAAATTTTTTTTTAATGTTTATTTATTTTGAGAGAGAGAGAGAGAATGGGGGGTAGGGGCAGAGAGAGAAGGAAAGAATCCCAAGCAAGCTCCATGCTGTCAGCGCAGAGCCCAACGTGGAGCTTGAGCCCACGAACCATGAAATCATGACCTGAGCAGAAACCAAGAGTTGGACACTTAGCCAACTGAACCACCCAGGTGTCCCAACTTGAGTGGGGTTTCTCAAAATGCAGATTGAGGGCCTCGGAAGTTTGGGGACAGAGCAATGATCTGGAATCAAAGTGACAACGGTTCAAATCCTAAGTTGGGTGATGTTGGGCAGATATCTAAATACTGAATGGCTCACTAGGGCTGGTTGCCAGGCACCTGAACTGTGCTAGGTATTTTGCATGCATTATCTGATCCACACAACCTTCCTGTGCCCATAAGGTAGAGAATTGAATTTGCTTGTGGTTGAGATAGATATTAAATATGAAAGTTGGAATTCGAACCTGGGTGTAACTGTTGGGTTGGTGTTTCATAGACTCTGACTTGAGGTTCCTTTTCCACATCTGTAAAATGGGAACACCACTCCTTGCTCACAGGGTTGTGAAGCTTGAGATAGTAAATTTGAAAACATTTGACAAAAGTCATTCAATAATGCTACCTGAGAAAGAACTGAAAACGTTTTGCCTGTTTTTAGGGCAGAGAAAACTTGAGGCCCAATGAAATTAATCAACTCTCCCCCAACCTGGGGATGAGAAGTGACCAAGTCAAGACCAGAATCCAAGTTTCGTATTCCACATCTGATTTGTTCTCTCACTACCCTCCTAGATGACTTAGAAGGAAGGACAAGTATATAGAATGCCACAAAAATGAAAAGGGTCAAGGGAAAATGAAACACGGAATTAATCAGGAGAGGCTTCTTGGAGGACACCCAGTTTTCATTTTATGACAGCAGTGTTTAGAGGAAGTGGGAGGCCAACAGAAGAGGTGTTAGTTCTTAGTCATGATGTGCTCTCCTTGATAAGCTTACTAGAGTTCCTGGTGCCCAGAGAAGCTAAGAAGCACGACCAAGATCACACAGCGACTAAACGGCCCTGGCACAATGTGGAGGTCACATCTAACTAACATCTGTTCCTGTCTCCTTGGTGCTGAAGTGAGGAGAAGCAGATAAACATACGGTTGGGCAGGGGACAAGGGGTCCCCAGAGGTGCTCACACAACCTCTCTCTTGCTACAGTGGGGAGACCCAGAGTGGGAAAAGCAGCAAGGTGAAATGCTGAGGCCTTAGGGTCGACCAGACTCTGGCTGGAATCCTAGATCCACTATTGACTACCTATGTGGTAGGTACACTTTACCTCTGGGTCTAAATTTTCTCGCAGATTCAGAAAAATGGCCTCCAAGTCCAGGCCAGGGTTAGTGAGAAAAATAACATGGCCATTATTATTCCACAATGCCAGGCCAGCCACAGATGGGAGGCAGGGCTGGGCACCCAAGGGACAGAACAGACTTTTAATGCCAACCACCCCCAACCCTGCAGTCACTGGGCACAAGTGCCGGGCAGCGTAAGGATGAGCAGGTCAGTCCCATGATGCAATCACAGCTCCCTGCTTATGCTGAGATGAACCATGACCCTTGGAAATAGAAAAACAGCCCATTAACAAGAAGTACAAAACAAAACCTCGGTGAACTTTTATTTCTCAGCATACAGAACTGGTAGCAAAGCCAAAGATTTCTGCATTTGAACGCTAGGATACCCCTCCCAACCCACCCAGGGGACATTTACAGAGTCATGACGTCCCTTCTAGAAGCCGAACCCCAATGCTGGGGCCTCTTCCCTCCTGCTCAGCTTCATTGCACAGAGGGCCTGAGGCCTGAAGGGGGTGCCAGCCGCTTCCCCATGCCTGCACGGGTATGAAATGTGGCACGCTGAACGGGCTCCTCTTCTGTCCCTCTTCAGAGAGGAGGGTCAGAAGCAGCAGCATCATGACCCTTGCCTTTCTTCAGTCACCAAACTGGTCAGAGAGCAGGCACATCGTGCCAGAAGAAAGGCAAGGGACGTCATAATTCACAGCTTATTTGCTACAGAAAGTGCCTGGGATCGGTCCTTGGCTGCTTCTGCCTCCGAGCAATCCACTTAAATCCAGGAAGGGACAGAAACTGGGATGGGGGGTGGAGTGGGGGGGAGGTGTCCTTGGAAGGTGGCCAGGAGAGACTGACTGCCAGGGCGGGGCGTCCCTAGAGGCCTTTGAGATTCTGCAAGATTTGCAGTTCGCTGCTGGCAGGTTGGCCTGAGAAGCCCAGAGGAGACTCAGACATCACATACAGTCTCAGCCTTCAGTCTGCGACTGCGACTGTAAAAACGGAGGTCAAAGATGTTTGGCAACATAGCCCTGGTCACCTGACCAGTTTGGGCAGGACCCAAACTAGACCCTGGGGTCTCCTGACTCTCCCCCTGAGCCCATTCCTCCTCAGCCACCTAGGAAGGCTCACTCGTTGGGAAATGTCTGTGGCACAGCCGTGGGAGATAGGAGAGTGGGGTGCTGGCCTCTGTAGGGCAGGTACAGTCCCGGGCAGAACAGATTTCTCCTTGTCCTTCTCCTCAGGCATTGACTGTGGCTAGAGAAGTGAGGCCCCCAAGAACCTCACCCATAAAGAACCAAAAATACAGAGAATTTATAATACTCCCTCCTCTTCAGAAGTCAGAGGGACCCACAGACACCCCAAGCTCTCTAGAGATAATCTACTTTTTTGACGTGCTTGATCTCTCTTCTGGGGCCTCACACCATCAGGCATGGGAAAAAAAGAGTCAGAGGGTGAAGGACGTCAAAGGTGCTAAACTAGGATCAGGGCAACTAGGGAACAGGGGGCCTTCAGGCTGCCCAACGGAACGGGCTTCCGGGGAGCCGAACACACAGACCAGCTGTGACACTGACTTTCACATTGATGGGTGAATGGCAGGTGGGAGGTAATGAAATCTGGGAGTGAGGGAGGAGGAGGAGGAGAAAGGGCACAACTGCTTGGAGTGTCAGTCCCTGCAGGTGTCCGCTCCTCTCCTTCAGGGGCAGGCAGGGACTTCCCAGTCCAGGAAGGGCCACAGTACTTGTGATGCCTGCGGCCCAGCCTGCTGGCACGCGAGTCTGAGCTCAGCTCATTTCCTTCCGGTGCCCTCCGCCTCTGGGGTCAGGGGCAGGAAGAGGGGCATGGTCCCTTGTGATCTGCTAGTCCTCCTCTTCCAGCTCCCGAGGGCAGAGCTGAGATCTCTGCAGAGATCTCTGCTGAGGTCAATGCAATGATCCTGTCCGTTCTGGTGAGAAAAAAGGAGGGTACGGCTCAGGGGCTACAAGTCACACACAAGCCCACCTCCGGAGTAGGGGAGGGGGGGCTGGGACAGAAAAGGATCGGGGTCTGTCTCCAGAAAGAGAAGTCCTTGCAGGGAGGAGGATGCCCCCAGGGTCAGCTGCTCCGGGCCCAGATCCTGCTCGCAGTCAGGTCATGTAGCGGGTGATGGCACGGAGGGCGTAGAGAAGCGCAGCCTGCATGCGGGCCTCCAGGAGCAGCAAGTTCACGTGGACCTGGGGCACAGACAAGGGCTTGTTGGCAACTGGTGTCACTCCTCTCCATCCCCATCCCCCCCAGACTGCCACTTCCCCTGACCAGTCACCACTCACCTCATCCATCTCTCCCATAAAGACGCCCTGACCTTTCCGAAGGCTCGGAGCAGTTGGGGACAACGACTGCTGAAGAATTTCTAGCACATTTATCCTTATCCCCACTGATCTCTCTATCCCCCAAAGCTAAAAACAAGCGCCACCCCCGGGCATTCGTTTTCTCGTTTCATCCCCCCCCCCCCCCACCACCACCAGCGACCTTGAAATGTGGGCAGCATTTGCTCTCACTGTAAAGAGAACAAGCTCAGTGGGGCAAAGTGACTTGCCCAAGGTCACAATGCTGAGTGACAATGTTAGGATTTGAACCTAGGTCCTCCTGGCTGCCACTGAGGACCCCGTGAAGCACGTTCCCATTTTATAGGTGAGTAAATGTGAAAATCACACACTAGAGTAGGACTCGAACCCAGGTGTCCCAACTGGCAGAAGACTCCATCTGGGATACCTCGTTGGGTGCTGACCCCCCCTTCCCCCGTGGGCTGTACCTTCTCTGAGTGGCGGAAGTGCCTCCAGAAGAGGTTGTACATTCTTCGGGTGGTCTTCTCTGGGTAGCAGGCCACCGTCTTGATATAGACCTTGAGGTTCCGTTCCAGGAGCTGGTTCACCTCCCCGTAGTCATAGTCATCATATCTGGATGGAAAGACCCCAACAGCATCACCCATCCTCTGCTCCCAGAAGTTGACTCTTGTCCCCTAACCCCACCCTTCAGAAGGAGGAACAGCGTGTGGCAAGAAAAGGCAGAATGTAGGAAGCGGGTAGAAGTTTGGTTCCTCTTAGAAAAGTAGCTGATGTCCCACATCACAGGCCACTGCTAGACCGGCAGGGGACCTCTCCAAAGATTGCAGAGAATTAGCCATGAGCTGCATGAACATGTGCTCACGGAATCCTCAAAACTACTATATATGCTGTCTGTAGAACTATTATATATAATACACCAGATTCATCAGCCCCATTTTATAGCTGAAATGGAGATTCTGGCAAGTGAAGTCACTTGTCCTGGGAATGGCATTCAAACCCATCTCTGCCTGGCTCCAAGGTCACTACAGTAAAGGCCATGGAAGAAGGGGCAGGAGGCCTGTACAAATATTTTCCCTGGAGAAGGAAGAGGCAAAGCGAAAAAGAAATGGTATTCTTTTTTACAGACGGGCAAACTAAGCCTGGAGAAGCCGATCAACGTGTTCAAAGTCAAAGAGCAAGTTGGTGACCTGTCTAGACGCCACTTTGTCACTCCCTAGTCCAGGGAGCCAGTTAGTCATCACAGATTGGTGTGGATGGGGAAGACTGGTTGAGAACCGGAGGACAGACTCAGTAGACAAAGGCATAGGAGCAAGGACCTTGTTGGAGAATGGGGGAGCCCGGATGTGGGAGCTGGACAGGAATTAGTCTGTGCCACACTCAAAGATGTCTGTCTCTCCTCTACCTCCCCTGAACTGGAAGTCAGTCAATGACCGGCAAGAGGATGCCCAATTAAGTACAACTCAATCCACTCAATCAAATATGATTTAAACTAGCAACATGCATTTTCTTTTTTTTTTTTAGTATTTTTTTTTTCAACGTTTATTTATTTTTGGGACAGAGAGAGACAGAGCATGAACGGGGGAGGGGCAGAGAGAGAGGGAGACACAGAATCGGAAACAGGCTCCAGGCTCCAAGCCATCAGCCCAGAGCCCGACGCGGGGCTCGAACTCACGGACCGCGAGATCGTTACCTGGCTGAAGTCGGACGCTTAACCGACTGCGCCACCCAGGCGCCCCACAACATGCATTTTCTACAAGGAACACGTGCCTTTTTAAAAATGTGGGGATTTTTTTTTTGTTGATGTGATGCTTGGAATAAACCATTAAATGAGAAAAGCAAGATCATGTGTTCACTAAAATACGCACATTTGAATTTTTTTTTTTCAATGTTTATTTTATTTTTTTTGGGACAGAGAGAGACAGAGCATGAACGGGGGAGGGGCAGAGAGAGAGGGAGACACAGAATCGGAAACAGGCTCCAGGCTCCGAGCCATCAGCCCAGAGCCTGACGCGGGGCTCGAACTCACGGACCGCGAGATCGTGACCTGGCTGAAGTCGGACGCTTAACCGACTGCGCCACCCAGGCGCCCCAAAATACGCACATTTGATTAAGTGAGTAAAATCAGTGAAGTGAGTAGGAAGAAAATCTTATGTTTGTAGAATGATATGTTTTGTTTATTTGTGGGTGGGAAGACAGAAAAGAAATACTTGACAATAATAAGAGCAGGTGGGATCGTGGATGATCTTTATTTTCTCCTTTTTGTTATCTCTGTTTTCTAAATATATTCTAAATCCAGTTGTTTCTCCTTACAAACATCAAACACATATTTGAAAAAATATAATAACCATTATAATTCCAATTACACAAAAGCAACTATATCAGAAAGAAGAAAAACAATGGAGAAAGAATGTCACAGGATGTGAATGTGGGTTGTGGAGTAGCTGAATTTGGGGAAATTGGTTTTTTTCCCTTAATTCTTTGAATTTCCCACAATGTTATCAGAGTGAGATTAAAAACAAAATTGGGGGCACCTGGGTGGCTCAGTCAGTTAAGCGTCAGACTTCAGCTCAAGTCATGATCTTGTGATTTGTGGGTTTGAGCCCCCATGGGGCTCTTTCTTGTCGGCCTCTTTCTCTGCCCCTCCCCTGCTCACTCTCTCAAAAATAAATACACATTAAAAAAAAATTGATCTGTGTATATCCTTGACAGGTAATTTCATACCTACAGCTCACCCGCAAGGACTTAGGTGTTAAGGCTAGTCAGTGCACGTGGTATTTGCAATAGTGAAAAACTGTAACCTATCTACACATCCAACAATAGGGAAATGATTGAATTATGCTACATCCATAACAAAATACCATGCAGTGGTGACAAAGCATAAATAAAAGACCCATTCATACTGACAAGGAAGGCAGTTAACAATAAATTACTGAGTGAAAAAATATCAAGCATGATTCTATCAATTAAAAAAAAAAATCTACTTTTAATCAGAGGGGCGCCTGAGTGGCTCAGTCAGTTAGGCATCTGACTCTGGATTTCGGCTCAGGTCATGATCTCATGGTTCGTGAGTCTGAGCCCCACATTGGGCTCTACACTGACAGTGCAGAGCCTACTTGGAATTCTCTCCCTCTCCCTCTCTCTGCCCCTCCTGTGCTCTCTCTCTCTTTCTCTCTCCCCCAAAATAAATAAACTTAAATTTTTTTTCTTAATCAGAAAATACTTAGGTAACAAGATGAAATGTAATTAATCACATACTATGCAGAGACAACCATTATTAATTAACATTTTAGTGTATAACCTTCCACACACTTCCCATGCATGCACATATTTTTAGTAAAAAAAAAAAAAAAAAAAGAGGGGGCACAAAAAGATTCTGGTTGGTAACCAGCTTTCTCTTTTCTCAATACATTTTGAATAATTTCCCATAGCAATATAAAGAGGTCATTATAATTTGTAATACCTGCAGACTTTTTCACTGGGTGGATATAACATTATTTAGAGTCCCATACTGATGGGCATTTATGTTGTCCTTATTTATTGCTAAGAGAAGAACTCCTACTTGGAATGGAAATACACACAGTCTCTCTCTCTATATCTCCATAGTTATCTCTAGGAGGTGGGATTAAAGAGTTTTGTTTATAAGGTTCAAACAGTGAGCATACTATCTTTTATAATCAGCAATGAAATAAATTTGTGTTGAAAAAATAGTATAGGCAGGAAGAAGGGAAAAGAAACAAAGAGAAAAGGAAACAGCTGTGAGCTCAGATTGAGGACTTGTAGTGCACATAGGCCTGGATGAGGGAATATATTGCTCACCTGATACCAAAGACACAGTGGATGTAATTCCAGATGGCCCTCCGGAGCATGGAGGTGTCTACTCCACTGTGCATGGCAATGGTGTTGTAGGTGAGGCTATAAGCTGCCTGGAACTTCTCATCCAACAGCTGCCCACCCTCAGGGTAGAGCCGTTGGATCAGTGAATAGCCATGGTCTTCCCAGGTATAATCCTGAGAAACATGGGAAGGGGTCAGTGAGTAGAATCTTTGGGGCCCAAGGCTGGCCATAGGGGCCCCATTCGCTGGAGCACAACTTCACTCTCTATAATGTCTCCTTCCCACCCCACAAATCTAACCTGCTGCTTGGTCTGGGCCTAAGAAGCCAAGGAAGATGCACCTTGGTGATGACCTTCTCCCTAGAATCAGGATCCCCTGAGCTTAGGGCGCAGACATGTCCTGTCATGATCTGGGGTCTCCCATTTCCCTCATCAAATCTTGAAGGAGCAGGTGCCCGACTCTCTGAGCACTCACACCATCTACCCCTTGCTTATTCGTAAATCCAGAGCAATGCCAAGAATAGTGTGGAGAGCCTACCTGGGCACGGAAGGTGGGGGGTGCCTGAGCCCCTCGCCGGGTAAAGTCCTCATATCCAAAAGTGGGGTCCTCCACAAAGCACAGCATGTCTGGGTGTGGAGAGGGCTCCAGGATGTCAGCTAAGTACGTCAGAAAGAGGTCAAAGTGAGGCCCAGGCACGGAGTACAGAGGCATCTACTGATTCATCAGTAGGTGGCCGGTGAATGCAGAGTGGAGGGCCAGAGAAAGCCCCTCGCTACGGCAGGAGGTGAGTCAGGCCCAGGGACCTGGGGGATAAGGCCCCCAGTAAGAATACTAGCGATCCTAACAACAGTAGTTATTTGTGGAGCCACTCACTCTGTGCTAAGAGCTTTGCTTCTGTTGTCCCATTTACCCTACAAACCAATCCTTCGCATGGGAGGAGACTGAGGCCCTGAGACAGGAAGTGACTTCTCAGTGGTCACACTGCCAGAAGGGCTGACAGGTCACGATTCAAATCCAGGTCTGACCCTAAAGTCCACTCTCAGAACCTCTTAGAAGGAGTGGTTGAGATGTGGCCTCCAAACACAAGAGGTGCTATGCAGAGTTGCCTACTCCCCAGGAGAGACGGTGTCAGAAGGGGGCAGCCCCTGGGACCTGGAGGCCTATGGTCCTCTACCTGAGGGAGCCACCAGAAGGCTCTCTGACTTCTCCAGCTCAAAGCGGCTCTCCATCTCCTCCTGGGATGCTCCCTCATCCCGTAACAGGCTCTCCTGCAGCTGCCTCATGCGCTCCATCAACGCTTCCACGTCTCGGGCAGCCTCGAAGCCCTGGAGGAGGGACCCAGTGGTGACCATTTACTCCCTGGCCCCAGGAAACTCCACACCCCTTTCCCACAAGCCAGGCCTTCCTGAGTGATGGCGAAGGCCTCCTGCGGCGGCTGCGGTGCTGGGCAGCTCGCATGCTCTGTGCTTCCCAAAGTGAAGTTTAAGAAGCTACAGGACAGACATGTCTTCTCTGAGCATCAACTGCCCTCACAGGAAAGGGATGGTTAAAGTATCTGTAATTTCATATTAAAACACACAAGGCCCCCTTCTAAATAAGAAGCAAGCTTTGTATTTGTAAAGTGCTAACACCCGGGAGGCTTTAAGTCTGTGAGGCTGCATGCTGAGAGACCCCACACGGTTGTTTCATTTAATCCTCACAACTGCCATGAAGTAGAGATCTTTAGCCCCATGTCACAGATGAGAAAATGGGAGTTTCAAAGTCAACTGAATTTTCTGAGGCCTCTCGGTGTGAGATAGGGAAGCGGTGGCTTCCATCCAAGGACCATGCCAGCTTCCTCTCCCAGCAAGACCCAGCCGCACGACTTACCCCAGAGTTGTTCATTGGGTCCCTGCTGGGGGGGCTGCTCTGCTCACTGGGGGGTGAAGGTGCCTGGGGGGCAAGGCTGCCCTCTGGGTCCCCCTCAGGGAGGATGCCGCAGCCAAACACAAAGGAGGCCAGCGAGTGGCAGTGGGTGAGCAGGACCAGGGCCTGGATGAGCTCCGCCAGAGACCAGCTGTGCTCGCCCGTCTTCAGCAAGGCCTGGAGAGGAAAGGAGGCCAGACTTGCTCAGTGCCTGACCCCGGGCTGACTGCCTGACATGTCCCGGCCCAGCTCCCATGCTCCCTCTGGGACCTGCCTCTCTGCCCACCGCACCTGGATGTGCTCCTTGGTGATGAGCCACGGCCGGTGTGCCAGCAACTTGTTGATCTCGCTGAGCTTGCGCAGCTTCTCGGGGGCATGATGGAGACCGAGCAGCCACTCAGGGTCACCACCAGTCTGCAGAAACTCAGCCATGTGGGACCCCACCAGGTAGGAACACTGGTGGCGGGCGGCAGCCTATGGAGGGGGTGGACAGAACCTTGCTTGTGGATGGAGACATCACAGGCCTCACTGTTGCCTGAGAGGCGGGAAACTTAGGTTCTAACCACAGTTCCACTAGTTTGCTGTCCTACCTTAGGCAGGTCACCTGACTCCTTTGTGCCTCAGTTTGCTAGTTCGTAAAGCAGGCACTAAAAATGCCTCTCTTCGGGGCACCTGGGTGGCTTAGTTGGTTGAGCATCCAACTTTGGCTCAGGTCACGATCTCACGGCCTGTGGGCTCGAGCCCCGCACTGTTGGTGCGGAACCTACTTAGGATTCTTGCTCTCTCCTCTGTCTCTCAGACCCTGCCCCACTCGTGCTTTCTCTCTCTTTCAAAATAAATGAATAAAAAAAAATTAAAAAATAAATAAAAATGCCTGTCTTCAAAATCCAAAATTGTGTGGATAATCAGATAAAACTAGGGCTTTCCTCTGCTCAGGGCTGCCTCTCTCCTGTCCCATGAAATGAGTTCAGGAAGCACCCAGCAAAGAAATCGAAAGACCAAGTCCCCCCACGTGGCCACCCGTACAAGAGTTGGGCTCAGACAGGCTCACCATGATGGCAATGTAGTGGCGCCACGAGCTGGCCAGGGGCCCATCTGTGTGCAGCAGGAGGTAGTGTAGACGCCAAAAGCTGCTAAGGTAGTCAGGGTGCAGGCCCATCACCACCGCCAGGTTGTCCACTCGCCCCAAGGACATCAATGCCTCCAGCCTCAGATGTTGCTCCAGGCTCTCTGCTCCCTCCCGAAGGACCTGCCAAGCAAAGGTGACCAGAGGGTGGGTTCCCCTCCTGCCCTCAACACCGAAGAGACCGAACACATTCACTGCGTTGGGACTGAGAAAACTAAAAATGACCATGTCCAAAAAAAGGAACACAGGGGAGGAAGAGATAATTCACTAAGTGATTTCCTTTCTCAAGGTTACAGATCTAGTAAATGACAGAACGTGGACTGAAATCCAGATTAGCAACAAAACCTATTTCTTTTCTCAGGACTGGTTATTGGGGCACCTGGCTGGCTCAGTCGGGGGGAGAGTGCAGCTCTTGGGGTTGGGGTTCAAGCCCCACGTGGAGTGTAGAGATTACTTACGTAAATAAAACTTAAAAAAATGAAAGAGGACTGGTTATTTACAGATGAAAAAAGAAAACACAAGAACAATACTTGAGTTTAAAATTCTGGGCTAGACATAAATAATCAGCAGGTGGCTGTTTGCTTTCCATTTACAAAGGGTGGAGAGGGAAGGGGGGGTGGTTAGATATTTGCCAGCTTAGGAAAGCAAAGAGGACGACAAAAGAAAACATTTGTTTTGTTCACCGAAGACCAAAGAAATAGGAGGAAACTTATTTTTACATTTTGCTGCGCAAGTGTTTTGAGGATAACCCCACTGCCACCAGCAGCCCCACACCAGAATGTCAGCTACAAGATGGCAAGGATTTTTGTCTGTCTTGGCCTCTGCTGTACCCTCAGCACCTACAACAGTGCCTGACATTTAGTCATTCAATAGACATCTGTTAAATAAATGAATGAATGAGGAGCACCTGGGTGGGTCAGTCAGTTAAGTGTCCAACTCTTGGTTTCGGCTCAGGTCATAATCTCAAGGTTTGTGAATTTGAGACCCTCGTCTGGCCCTGCACTGGCAGTGTGGATGGAACCTGCTTGGATCCTCTCTCTGCTCCCCACCTGCTCACGCACATGCTCTCTTTCTCAATATAAATAAATCAGTTTTTAAAAATAAAAAAAATTAATGAGCGATCTGACTCTGTGGATTAAAGAAGTCTCTGTTGTAGTAAGTGAAAAAAATAAGGAACGTGACAATAACCTTGCCCCCACACCAAAGGATGTAAAGTATGACCTTGGTTCTATATGGAAAAAAAAAAAGGCCCAGAAAACAGTGATAAATGGTTAAGTAACAGTGATTATCTCTTTGGGAGATGGGATTACGGGAGACCAAAGCTTTCTGAAACATAAAAAGGCTTTCTGTAAGGAACAAAATAATACTTTTGAAGTTGAAAAAAAAGCAATATATGTATAGTCAAGGAAGAGCAGTTAGCATAGACAGTTCTAGCTTCTTAAGGCAAAAAGTCCTTTTTCTGGGAATCAAAAGTTTATTACCTAGCAGTGTCATTATCACTTTATCTCTTTGAGCCTGTTTCTTCCTAGCAACATGGGGTTGTGATATGCATGCTCCATAGAGTTCTTTGTGGGTTAAATGAGTCAGGAACCTGAAAGGGTAGTTTCAAAGCTGCTATTTCAAGAGCTGGGCAAAGATACCCCCCTACTCCCCACCCCCACACACAAGGTCCCATGTCCATTCTTCCCAGGGATCAAGAATTCCTAACCCCTTCCAAACTTACCTCCTCCACTGGGATGAAGGCACTGGGCCCTCGGGGACCTCGCCGAGTCCGACTTCCCCTCTGCTCCTAGAAGGAAATACATCATGGCTGTTGGAGGTAAAAGAGAGGACTAGGAGCATAGTTCACTCTCCATCTTTTTCTTCCTACCCAAGAAGCCACACTGAGCTTTTCAAACCACCCTTTTGGTGCACCCTACACAGAGGACTCAGGTGGGAGACGCACACCTGTTGGCAGGTGGAGAAAGGGTAAGCAAAAAAGAGGGCTCGCCCCACAGGGTGACTTCTTCAGGAACTGGGCAGGGACCCAGGAGCCCCAGTATTGGGTGGGAGGTGCGTGGGGAATGGAGATATATAGCCACCATGGTGCACATCTCTAGGAGGCCACCTTTTTAGCAGCCTTGGAGATTCTATACAAGAAACCCCCTCATTTGCATCCTGAAGCCAGGTTACCAAGTACCTTAGATTCCCTATGATGCAGACTCAGTTATTCTCAAATGCTCCCTTCTCATCCTTCCCACCATCACCACTTCATAGACTACAACCATCCCTTGTCTGGATCACCACCCACAGCCTCGCCGATGGTCTCCCTGCCCCTGTGGCCCTGCCCTCTCCTACCCATCCTCTACCAAATTAACAAAGGGAACGAATAAAGAAAACATCTTCCCTGAACTATACCTCTGGAACTAGGAGCACATTGAACGAGTCCACGACATGGTGGTTTCCAGGAGGGCGAACCTTCCGCAGCCAAAGGAAATTTCCCTAAGTGCAAATCTCATCAGCTGGCTTAAAACCCTGACTCCAGCTCCCATTAGCCTTCCGGATAAATTAGTGGTTTAGGTCCCCTGCTCTCCCACTGGTCACTCCTTTTGCACAACTAAGAGTCTTCCAGGTCTGGGAACCTTCTGATGACCCTTATCTGTGACCCCACCGTTCCTAGTGCTTTTGGTTCTGAAACCATTGTCTTCTAATTGTCTGATTCAGGTCTCCCTGATACCAGATCACATTCTGCGGAAGGCAGGGCCAGGTCATTCATACTAATCTGTGAAGGAAGAAAACAGAGAAAGCAGAGAGGCATGGAGGGAATCCAGGCAGGGCATAGAAAGCTGACGGTAGCAGCTATTCTGACCTCATGTACTGGAGACTCTTTAGAAACCATAGGAGTCATATACTCACTAAATCTGCTCCTAGTCTGAGAGGTGGGGTTCAGAGAGGATGTTTTATTTACTCATTTGTTTTGATAACTGGGAGGGAGGCTCTTCTCGGTGCCGGCCTTGGAAACAGTTTACCCAAACCAGAGTCATGCCCTCACTGGACAGAGAGGGCGTCCCCCTAACTCTCCCTCCTCATTGGAAACCGGACTTAATATCAATCCCCAGGTGTCCAGGGAGTAAAGATTATAATTGAAACTTCCTCCTCAGATGGTCAAAAGCCTCTTGAGGGAAGCAGAACTCTGGGGCTCTGAAAGCCCACACAGAAAGAACAGTGGGATCTGGAAGTCCCAGGTCTGAGTACCAGTTCTGTTACTAACTTGCTGTGTGACTCTGAGAAGGTGACTTAGACTCTCTGGGCCTTAATCTTGGACAAAAAAGGTAGTTGGGCTAATGTCTCGGGGCCCTTGCAGCCCACACTTCTGGGAGATACCAGGCGAGGCTGGTCCAAGTCCAGTACAGAAAATTACCACAATCTCCAAGCACTCACTTTTAATCTCCCTCCTCCCTCACCAAAGGAAAAAAGCCTAACAGCTAGGTCTAGGAGATAAGGACTGCTGACTCCACAATCTGGGCCTCCCCCTCAGGGGACCAGAGGGCAGATAGAAAACCATAGGTGGGGGGACCTGGAGGGCTTCCCCCCCCTCCCCTGGGGAGGAACAGCCTTAGGAACCCTTTCTCTCTCCAAAATCTGCCCCAGGAGCTGTCAAGGGAAGGAACTGATACCTTTAGGTGATAGGTCTGGACCCACCAATATTTTCATTCCTAATTATGATGATGGTGACACCATGATGATAATTATAGAGTACAGTTAAACGATAGGGGCTCTTGACCCAAACTGCCTGGGATCATATGACAACTCCACCACCTATTATCTATCTGCTAGCAGTGTGAGCCTCAGTTTCCTCACCAAATAATGGAGATAATAGTACCCACTTTCACTGGGTAGTCATGAGGATTTAATGAGATAATACCTCTACAGCCCTTACCCCTTACCTCAGGAAGTACCTCTATGGCACTAAACACTTAATAAAAGTCAGCTACCGTTAATCTCATTGTAATTTCAAGCAAGGGCTTCTCAACCCAAGCAGTATAAAATCCCGTTTAAAAAGATGCCAATATCAAGGTCCCACCTCCGATTCTAATTTAATTGGGTGGGGCCCAGCATAATTTACAGCTGGGGTGGAAGGCCATTGGTTCACACCATTTATTGATCATTTTCTCAAGTATAAGGCACTGTGCTAAATGCTTCCCAGGTGGAATCAGAGTTAATCTGTTCACTCGACAAATATTTCTGATGACTACAATGCAGGCAACAAGAGAACAGGGGTGAAAAGACAGTCTCAGCCTTCACAGAATTCATGATCTAAAGGAGAATGACAAACAGTGAACAGGCTTTCAAATCGCAGATTATACAAAGTAAATGAAAAAGATCAATGAGGGAGTGTATGATGGGGTGGGAGTATGCAATATATTAGTTTAAGGAGACAGGGAGAGCTACTGAAGAGGGAACCTTTGAGTTGCTATCTAAATATCAAATATCTAAATGAGTTGATGAGAAAGCAGCAGGGCCCATAAAGATCTAGGGGATCAGCATTCCAGCCAAAGGGAACAGAAAATACAAAGTCCTGAAGGCAAGACCAAGTAGATTCCAGTCCAGAGCTCCAATACCCTGAAAGTTTCTCTGACCTTGACACCCAGAACTTCAGGGGAAGCAGACAGGGCAGGGTCCTCCTGCCAAGAGATGATGCCTCCAAATCAGCCCTCCCCTATTTCCTGGGGTAGGAAATCAATAAGGATGGTAGTAACAACACTGATTACCATCAGCTAAGCATTTTACATGCATTTAGGGTAGGATCTACTACTACTCTGAGGGTTCGCATTTTACAGACACAGAATAAGGCTCAGAGAGGTCAAGTCAGGGTTTGCACCCGGGGTTCACCAGAAGCTTCTCCTCCCTGCCCACATTCCGAGGGATCCACTTTTCCCAGTCACAGCACCTGTCATACTGTGTTGTTTCTTACTTTGAGGGCACACACTAGATCCGGCTCCCTGTTACCCCAGTGACACTGAAGTCCCTCTGGGTGGGCCCTGAACAGGCAGGCAAATTGTGAAGAGGATCACCCCGCCCAGCTCAATGCCTGGCTCCTAATTTAAGCACTCACTAAATGTTAATTTAGTAGCTCAGGCATTTGCACACAGGTACTATATAATCTTCATCAGTTTTGGGGGTGGAGGTCTCTACGTTGCCCACAAAGAAAGATCAAGGTTCCAAAGGTTAAGCACCGGCTGACGAGTGGCCAGCCTAGGATGTGTGCTCAGTTCACTTTGGCTTCTAAGGGTTCTGTCCATCACCCACATCAGCCTCTTGGAGTAGGCCCAGCCTTATTCTTGGTCTTCTATCCAGAGCCGGCAACCCCCAGGACTCAGCTACAGATACCTATGAAGTCACTCTACCAGCTGGGAAAGGAAGAGATTCGCCCCCAACAACACCCCATGGGCAGCTGCCTGCAGAACTCGGATCCTTGTCTGGGTTTACACATGGGAGGGAGACCAAGAGCTCAAGCAGCTTCTTCCCTCCAGCCTTGGAAGGAGGCTGGTGTGAGTGGCGCCATGGGCTGGGCACTAGGCTAAGTGCTTTATACATCTGATCTGGCTGATTTCTCACAACTACCCTGAGGGAAATAGGTCTTATTATTCCTTCTTCAGAGACAGCTCATTGAGGCTCTTTCGGAGTCCTGTTCCAGACGGGTTCAGATCTGGCTTCAAAGCATGCACAGCTCTCAAGTGTCAGCTGAGCCAACAAGGGGCCAAGAGTTACAAGCGCTTCTCAGGTGCTAAGAACAGTGCTAGGGATTTGACCCCAGAGTGTCTCTAGTCCAGCAAAGTTGACACACAAAACGCCCGATTACAGGACTGTTACATTATGGATAGCATTAAAGCTCCAACAACAGAGAAGCAGGCCTGAAGGAGGGCATGCAGAAGGGACTTATGGGGGGTGGGGGGAGGGAAAGCTTCCCAGAGGAAGTGATGTTTGAGGAAGTGATTCTAGAGCCCAAGAGGGCTCTGAAAACACACTACCAGTCCTAGAGTGAAGTCCTAGAGTCTGTAGACCTTGACCCCTTTAGGTTAAGGGCATGTGGTGAAAAGATGAGAGTCGAGGGGACTGTACATGTGGGTCTTCCCTTGGGCCCAGGGCACCAGGCTCTGTAAGTCCAGCCGCCCTGCTGTCTTCTAAGGATTCTGCTTAAAGTAGACATCTTCCCAAGGTCTTCTTTTCTTGAGAGAGAGACAAAAAGTGTGTGGAAAGGGTTCAGATATCAACATCTTTCTCCTGCTGCTGACAGTGGCTTCCATCTAAAGGCCACTCCCTCAGAGCCTGCCCAGACCACCCGAGGCACTCTCTTCTCCCCAGGCCACTTCCCAGGCACTCAGAGAGGGATGGGCCGGCTCTCACCTCAGGCAGGAGGGACAGGTTCAGGCACCCCATTGTGACACACTCTGGGGAAAGGGAAATGACCACATTCTAACAATACCAAGCATATCTGACTCAGTTCCAGGCACTGTGCTTCAGCCTTTGCTTGTATTCTGTCATTTCTCCCAACAATCCTCAGGGATACTATCAAATTTCCATGGGAAGAAGTGGCAGATCAGAGTTGTGATCACTTGGCTATGGTCACACAGCCAGCAATGGGAACGCTGGGACTGGAACCCAGCACCCCTCTAGTGGCTAGATGCTCTCAATAATAACAAGAAATCCAGCTCCCACCCTCCAAGAAAGAAATGGACCGAGGGTAAAGTAACTTGGCCAAAGCCACTCAGCAGAGAAGTGACAGGCGTGCGTTTCATTCCTCCACATTGGGGCTCCTAAACTCTGGTGGGGAAGGATAAACAAGCCCACAGAAGACCCAGGACGCAAACCATCCACTGCTGGAGGTGGGACCCCTAGAAACCATGCTGCTCAGAGAAGGGCAACGATTTCTCCAGGGTCACACAGGACTGGCACTTGTCAAGACTCCCAGCCCCAGCAATACACTTGCACCACACTCCAGGCCTGGAAATAAAAACAAGCAAAACTATGTAGTGGCAAGCACACTAGGGAATCCTAGAGGCACCCAGGCCAAAGAATGAGCTACTTGGTGGCGGTGAGTGAAGGGAAGTCTCTCCGTAGCCCTTCCTGGGCCTCAATTTCCTCATCCTGGAAAATGGGGCTACAGTGTAGCTCATATTTTGCTAGTTTAGTCCTGAGGACTCGGAGAAAAGGCAAAACCTGGAGACCAGAATCTAGTAGGGGTTTAAGAAATGATTAGATGTCCATTGTCGTCGGGGGTGGTGGTGATGGGTGTGGGGAGGGAGCAGGAGGTGTGTCAGGGTAGGCCCAGGCTATTCCTAGCTTCACCGCAAAGAGTCCCGGCCAAGCAAACTTCTGGGACCCGAGACCAGTCAGCAGGGCGCAGGCTAATCGCCGCCCGCCTTCGGGAGCCGCGTCCAGGATTTCTCCCCTTCTCCCCCAGCTTCGGCCGCCGCCGCCGCGTACCCGGCAGCTGGCCAAGGCCCTGGAGCGCCCGCTCTCCCCCGCTTCCTATCGGGGGTGCAGGTGTGGGCGGGGGACGAGGTCGACCTCCGTTGGCAAGTCCCAGGTGCCCCAATCCCCGCACTGGGAGACTGGCACTGGGACGTATCCTAGAAAGAGTCCTCCGCCCGCCAGCCCCAGCCCAGAGGAAGGGAATCTGCGGAAGGGGGCGGGGAGGAGGAGTGGTCGGTCGAGCCGCGGCTGCCGGGATTTGCCTGGACTTGAAGATTCTCCGGTCGAGAGCCCAAACCCGAGATAACCTCGAGAAGGCTCCCCTCTCATTGGCCAGGAGTCCTAGGGAGCCAGGGAAGGTTCCACAACCCGGGGGGAGGGAGCGGAGGGGGCCGAGACTGCCAGTTGATGCAACCCCATTCCTAGTTTACGCGCCTCCACTCCCCCTCCCCGAGCCGGGGCGGGGGGAGGGGGGCAAGCACAGACTCAGCCCGGGACAGCCCGAAGCCCGGCCGCGGCTCGGGGCTCAAGGGAAGAGTGGCGTCGCTCGAGCGCTGCTTACCTCTCCGGCCCCGGGGCCGCCGCCGCCGCCGCCGCCGGGGGAGAATGGCAGGTAGCCCTTCAGCTGCGCGCCGCACTCGGAGTCTGCAACGATCATGCTGTGTGCCAGGATCCGGCCACGGCTCGCCGGCGACCGGTGCACCCGAGGGGGTTTTGTACAGACGCACGCAGGAAGCTGGGACTGGGGGCCGCTGGGGAGGTTCTAGAGCCCCGGGATGTCTCTCGGGGTTCCAGAACGCTCCGAAAGCCCAGAATCAGGGAACAGCCGCTGCTCCGCTGGACTCTCGCCCCGGCCGGCTTCAGGAGCGGTGAATGGCCTCAGGAACCTGGGATTGGCAGCGGCCCAGGGGTTTTTACGGCCCGGAGTACCTCGGAAGTCCGCAGTGGCCACGGCTGCTCGCCAGCCCAGCGCTCCTCAGCGCATCCCCGCCGCGGAACTGCCAACGCTCGCCGGGCTCTGATACCAGCAGCGCCGCTCAGCCCGCTGCGGTCCTCGGGGGAGGGCGGGGACACAAAAGCCCGCGCCGCGGCCAATCAGATGCCTGTTTCCCGGGGAGGCGGGGACGACACCTCCCCTTGGAGCCTACTGCTCGGCCAATCGGCACCGGGAAGCGCCGGGGAACTCTGGGAGCTGTAGTCAACCCGGGATGAATGCTGCAAACTTTCGCAAAAGGGTTTAATCAGATCGTTGGCAATTTCAGACGAGAGTGACTGCCAAGAGAGTCATTAGAGCTGTGTGATGAAACGGGACTTCACCGGGCTGGGCCGGAGAGTCGGGTGTGAAGTCCCTCCCAAGTATGTTCCTTAGTTTTTCAGTTCCTGCAGGGACTGGTTACGGTTAGGAGAGGTGGTGCTAATTACAGAGCCAAACCCCAAATCTTTGGAGATTAGAACAGAGCCCTGTCCCCCTGGCCTCCGGGAGAGCTCCACCGTAAAATGTACCAGGCACGGGAATGCATCGTATTTGTGGGGTCCCTGGAAAAGCCTTCATTCATTGAAAGGTCCTTGGTAACCTCATGTCTAACCTCAGTCCCTATTGCTGCAGTTTCCTCTCTTCTGCTTCCTCGGGGCCTCCAGTCCTGTCTTCCATTCCGGCCACTCCCTTTCTAGAAACTTTGAGGTAAGGTGTTCTACTGGGTCTCTTCTCACATCTCTCTCTCTGGCCACTCCTTCTCTGACTCCTCTTTTTCCTTCCACCCCCTGGAACGTGGGTGTTCCCCGGTTTCTGTTTTTATCCCTCCTCTCTCCAGACACACTCTTTCTGATCTCATCCATTTCCTGGACTGCAATGCTCCATTTGGGAATAAGTTGCTTCTACCAGCACTTCAGCACCTCAAAGGTGAATTCATCTCCTGTTCCTTCCCACAGCCTCTTCCTTGACAGTTTTTCTTTAGAACTCCATTTTTTGTTTCCATCTTGAAGTCATTGTTTACTCTGGATAGAGAATCCTGGCAGGAGCAGGAGCGAGGGTGGACTAGATGACCTCCAAGGTCCCCTCTGAGACCTTATGAGAGTAGGCTTACCACTCCAAGGATGACTCTCTAATTTGGTCTCCTGCCTCCAGCCTCTTGGAAGAAGGAAATGAATTTCACCCTCTGCTGAGCAACCAAGGAGGCACTTGGACCGGGGCTCTATTATAACACTTACCCCACTCTACCTTGTATTGTAATTTTCTGTGTACGTGTCTTTTTATTAATGTTTATTTATTTTTGAGACAGAGAAAGAGGAGAGGGACAGGCAGAGATAGAGGAAGAGAGAGAATCCCAAGCAGGCTCCACGCTGTCAGTGAAGAGCCCCATGAAGGACTCCAACTCACGAACCCTGAGATCATGATCTGAGCTGAAATCTAGAGATGGAGGTTTAAGGACTGAGCCACCCAGGCACCACTACATGCATGTCTTATCTGACCTTTTTGATTATAAACTCTTTGAGGGCAGGGCCCATGTCTTGAAATCTTTGTCTCTGCCTTGTGCCACCTGTCCTGCCAATAATATGCCCTTGGTGACTGAATCTTTCTTTGAATTGAATTCCCCTGTAAATTCCCATATGTCAGATTCAGTTTCATTTTTATTTATTTTTTTACTTTTTTTTTAACGTTTATTTATTTTTTTGGGACAGAGAGAGACCGAGCATGAACGGGGGAGGGGCAGAGAGAGAGGGAGACACAGAATCAGAAACAGGCTCCAGGCTCTGAGCCATCAGCCCAGAGCCCGATGCGGGGCTCGAACTCACAGACCGCGAGATCGTGACCTGGCTGAAGTCGGACGCTTAACCGACTGCGCCACCCAGGCGCCCCTCATTTTTATTTTTTTAATGTTTGTTTGTTTGTTTATTTATTTTGAGAGAGAGAGAGAGAGAGAGGCAGAGAGAGAGGGAGAGAAAGAATCCCAAGCAGGCTTCACGCTCAGCTTGCGGACCCAATGCAGGGTTCGATCTCACAAACCATGAGATCATGACCTGCCCCAAATCAAGAGTCCTGCACTCAACCAACTGAGCCACCCAGGTGCCCCTCAGCTTTCATTTTTAAAATCTACTCTGTAGTTAGTGTCAGTGTTTAGATCAAAAAATGTTACTGGTATGTCATCAACTAAGAATAAAGGTCAAACCTCTAGACTGACAGTATCTGCCAAGATCTGCCTCATTCTACCTTTCCAGTCTTATCACCTACCACATCCATGTTTCTTGTTTGGCTTTCAAACCTTTCTTCCAGTGGTTCTGTCTGCAAATCTCTGCCCACTGAAATCCTACCCAACATGCAATGCTTTCATGCGTGTTTGTGGCCTGAATGAAGCCTTCAAAAATGCCACTTCCTACAGAAAGGGTTGCTTTTTCAGCTCAGCTGAAAATAATCTCTTCCACTCCTCCACTCCTCAACACATTGTTTCTACCTCTTTATACCACTGATCTTTAAATGTGATGCAGCCTTGTTATCATCTCTGCTTATCTTACCCATTCCTTTCAGCTAACAATGGAATATGTGATTGATCACTTCTGCAAAGTGAGGAAACTTGAGCTCAGAAGGTAAAATTTCATGTCAAGGTCATACAGTATCTTCTTTTGACTGCACCAGGCTGTTGAAGAGCTCCTTTGAGGCAGTGTCTAATTGCCTTTGTATCCCCCACCAACATGTAGTAGGTCCTCAGCAAACGTTTTTGAATGAATAAATATGAGTTACCCTCCTCTGTAAAATAATCCCTTAGGATCTTCAAGGAAACGACTAAATTATTCGCAAGGCTTCACTTGCAAAGTTGGTAATTTTGTGAAAAGAAAAAGCAAAAGATACAAATATTCTCAATTTGATGAGCTTTTGTGACTCAGTCTCTGAGGAAGGAAAGCTGAGGAGAGACACAGCTACTACCATTTACTGAGCTCAAACAATAGTCCAGGATACGTCTATTATTTCATGTAACTCTGACTACAACCTGGTGAGGTATGGATTATGCCCCCATTTGGCAGATGAGGTAACTGAGGGTCAAGAGGTTTGTTGGCCAAGATAGCTTAGTAATGTGTTGAGTAAGGATTTCAAACCCAGGCAGGAATGACTCCAAAGCAGAAACTACATACACCATGGATGAGAGAAGGACATGAATTGTAAGAAGCAGTCTGGCATAAGGAAGTAATGCGTAGAGTAGAATTATAATATATTAATTGGGAGTGAGGAATATAATTGTCAAGTGGCCTGTAATTGGTGGGCCAGCACATCCTTCTTTATAGGACAGTCTCCGTGAAAAGCCAAGTTGTCATTTGAAGGTGGCTAGGGCAGTTGAAGTCTAAGCAAAAGAAACCAGTGAAAGATGAATTGTTGAACCAGCTCCACTCAGATCAAACCTGCTGGTCAGGGCTCCCACTTCTTCCCTCTCTCTTTTATTTAGTAAATATTTATTAACCATTTAGTGTGTACCAAGCACTATCCTGGGCTCTGAAAAATCCAGCAGTGAAGCTTCTTGCCCAGCACGGCATGGCCTGGTGACACAGGCTGGGCTTATTCCTCCCCACCCCCACACCTTGTATTTTCGGTTTGGTAAAGATCTCCACCTCCTGTTGCCATACTCACTCGACTCTTGCATCAGCTATGTTGAGGCCACTGATTGGCCAAAGCTTTTTTTATTCTTCAATCACGTTCCAGCCCTGAAGATACATCTAGATTGGATTTGAAATGTTTTTGAGGTTTCTTTAGCTTCAGACCCTCTCACAGATTTTAACCCTAATGGGATTCTCTTCTGTTCTGTATTCATTCTTTCTGAATTAATTTTCTAATCCCAAATTCTGGAATCACTCTGCTATAATAACCTTGTACCCTGACCATTATCTGGGGCTGTGATTTATCACCCCAGAGGGACTTTTCTGTGCTCTTTTTATTATTTTCATGCACACCCCCTCCCAGCTCAGAATACAATTCCTGCCTTGGGGGAGCTTTTAGGGAAGAAACCTAACTCTAACCGATTTGATAAAACCAAAAGCAGACCCACCCTCCAAGGCTTATTCACACATTCGTCCATTTAATTACTCATTAAGCAGGCATTGTGCTAGGTGCCCAGGAAGAACCTTCTGGCTCACAGGTCGTGAGCTGCCAAGCCTTACAGCAAAATTGAAGTTGTGCCCTGGAGTTGTGCTTTAGGGGTAGGACAACCATAGACTCTAAGAAACAAAGCCAACTATCTCCTAAGACCACTGCCCAGGAGTCAGGCACCTGGATGCTAGCTTTTAGCCATGTGACCCAAAGTGATTTTTTTTTTTTTTTTTAGCTTTTAGGATTTGTTTCTTTATCTGTAAAACAAAGGAACTGAAATGAGCTCTAAACCTTCAGAGCCGCCGTATAGGGATTTGGGCAAGGCGTATAATTCAGTTTCGTCAATTGTATACTGCGGACAGAAACGTCCAGGTTTCAAAAGCCTCACCCCTCTTAGTAAATAAAATACAAAAACTGACCAGCTGGGTTCTTTTGGATAATTCATTAAGAATTTCAGTTTGGTTTTGTCGGCTGAGCGAGCCCTCAGCGCCCCCTGCAGGCAAGACTCTGCTACAGTTCAGAAAGGACGGAGGGAAGAAAGGGTGGATTGAGGGCCACCTCTAAACCATTTTGAGTTTACAGGATTG